TGAATTCCGAAGACTATAGTAATTTAGAGATTTATTTTACGTTATCCTTGTCACAAAGCTGGTTTGTGACAAATGCAAATAATAATTCATAAATTAGTTGTCTTCAACTCCGGATGTTCAATAAGATCAACTATCATTCTGTTAATTATTACCGAAACTTCTTTCACACATAATAATTACGTACTGTACTTATACTTCCAATTTTATCTATATAATAGCGTACAATCACTTTTCAAAATGAGTATGTATTTAAAATTACTTGTGTATTCCTAGACACACGGACGAAAATTTTTAACAATTTTGGATAACTTTCTAATTCCGAGTGTATCATAGAGTATATGGAATAGGCTATAAATAATTGATCTTTTTTAGAAGCAATAATAACCTGATAGTTAACAACTGAAATGCGCTTTAGCTACTTTACTGGTTCATTATTTTCATTGTAAGTAAACATGCAGTTTTCTTTTCAAATGATAAATATCATTATCCGTTAACATAGCGTATCATATGGAACTTTAATGACGAATTTTTATTAGTATAGCTTGTTTATTATTAATAACATAACAATCCCACCCTCCCGTTAATACAGAGTGAGGAACTTTATAGCTAGGGCTCACTTCCTTCTATTATATAATTATCATTCATAGATCTTACTAATGGTGTCATATATGGTACTCTAGTGATATGAGATTAAATGCCATGACAAATTTAAAACATCACAACTAGCTAATTAGATAACCAAAATTAATAGCCAGCAATTAATTATAATATGTGCATGATTCTGCAGGAACTACTCGACGAAGAATTCACCTCCAAATTTGAAAATAGAGGAAATCAAGTAGAGTAGTGCCCGCTTTCTATCGCTTTGATATATGACATGTACAAACAATCTTGTACAACCTTCCATTTTTAATTTAACTTTATTCAATTTAATCCAATAAAGTAGAATAACATGCAAATTTCTGGTTACCCAGTGATTGAATAATCTAATTTTTGATCGCTGTTTAGTTTGAATGATATACTACCGCTGTTATAAAATACTTCTATTTTGGTTAACATCCATGAGTAAAATGGCACTGAACCGAAATTTTTCTCTGCTATTGAATTAAATATTTCTCTGTAGTACAGTCGCAAATGAGCCCAAAATTACGATTGCAAGATTGTAGTGAGATCATTTCAACTTGCATGTTAGATTATAAGATTGTCTAGGTACCCATTCGTAAAAGATGGTTCTATTACGTGGACTGTTTACTTCACAATATGGTATAGTCTATTCTTAGTATGTTTATTTTCCCCTACTCTATAGCGTAACTCTATGGATGTAAATCTACATTGAATAATTCACACTGTAGAAATCTACTGATACTCTAGTTGAATTGTATCGTAGAGCTAATTTAACGTAAAAGTAAGATACTTTTAGAAGCCATTCGCCTTGATAAGAAATTCCTCCTACTGTGCTCCCTACGTTATAAAAGCTGTCTTCATTCGTCTGTCTAGTTAGTGATTCCTGTTAGTTATACGTTATGCGTCTACGATTTACCAGTACCAATCCTAGGTACTATAGCTATCCGACTAGTCATGTCGTTACTCGCGCTGTAGCCTTGGATGGTTATCCTCTGCATGTTACCTCAATAAAAACTAGTATTTTACAAGTTATTCTTTTACAATTTATTGATTATTCGACGCTTACTCTTCTGAAGCATCACAGTAATGCAGCATATATAGATACAATAGTACAAAATAATGTAGCTTTCAATTTTCTTGTAATATATTGCTTAGGGTGGAATACATAGCTGTTCATTTAAACGAGAACTTTACTAGTTTATATCATGAATTAACGGTTACAGGCAATTTTAGTTCTTGCTTTAGTTTGAAGAAGACGCTTTATTACATTATCTTTCCGTCATTTTCAAGGTAAATAGCTTGGTTAAGCGGCTTTATAGTGGACTTCAATTCAATCGTTGTATGCAAAATGAAATGAAAGGGTATCTTGTGTAACTGTTGATTGAACTGGTGCTCCTTTTCATCATTTTTATATAAAAATAGATGCAGCATTTTGATTATAGCTTACTCGGATTTAGTACTCCTATGTAAAGTGAAATTGAGCGAAAGCCATTCTTAGATATGGATTCATATACGCGTTCTTTACCATCATTTCCTGTAATACTGGCTACTTCGATACTATTAATTTCTTTCCAATTTGGAAGCATATCCAAATCATTTTTGGTGATTTTGTGTATGGCGATAGCTGCAGCATGTGTATAGCCTTTTCTTTCTGCTAATACTAACGCAAATTCTGGCAGTATGTAACCGACACCTTTGCCTGATGCATTCTTTAGTACAGATACTTCATCAAGATAAACTATTCGATCGATGCCACCATATTGATGCCATGGTGTTGTTTTAAATAGTTCTACAAGAGCATTAAGAAGTGGGACAAGTTTACTACCACAGCGGTCATACGATTCCTGTCCATGGGTAACATTTATTGCTGTGGATAATGAATAAGCTACATGAACACCTATCATTTGGCCTTGGCTATTACGAGCTATGCATCCAATTCTACTCTTAACACTTTCTTGACAGGAAAAAGTAGAATCTTTAAGATATTCATCGGCAGACATACTAATAATTCTATAAAATGGATTGCTAGCCATACATTGTGCACTAATTCGACTTGCTTCAGCGATATCGCTCTTTTCCATTATATGATAGGAAATTTTATTCTTGAAGTCGTATAAATAGTTCTCATTTCCGGATCTAAATTGCCGTAGAAGCTGATCATACCATGCTAAATCTTTTCTAAACATTTCGGCTGGTAATTAATTAAAGAATAAAAATTGGAGTTATTTTCACGAACGGCTATAGTATACATAATACTAGATCGTTTATGGTGGCATAAACTCTCTTCTAGTGGTGCTAACGAATTGTTACACTAATTTTAGTTAACGATAAAAGAATCTATTTTTCGATTCAATAGATTTGTGTTAAATCTCTGAATGGCTACTAACATTATTTCAGTTGAGTAATCAAACTTTCCGGCATAAGTTACTATCATAGTATAGTATTACCTTGAATTTGGTTTCCTATTTAGTTTTGCATTGATTCTATTAACATAGGTGACGAAATTGGTCATTAATTTTACAAGATTGAGGATAATTTAACAGTCCTACTTGTTTAGAATAGATTAATGCCTAATTTAGCGCCTTAATCTAACAGCTATCTATGTAGAAGGTCCTATAGGATATGCTACAATCTTGAACTAGTTATCTTATTGAATAATACCTTCAATCTATTAAGACGAAGGCAAGATCTAGAATTGATTTAATGGTTGACTTGATAGGACTAGTGAACTTTGTTGCATTAATAAATGTATAAATACCTTGTCTTACCGTTTTAACTAATTCAATTATAAGTATAACATATGATAATATTGAAAACGCCAAAGTCTTGAATTAGTCTATTCTGTTTAACTTTACTTTGATTATATCAGAAGAACAACGTAATTCGTCACAAATCTTTATGATCGACAACTGAATAATCTTCTTGGCCTTCAAAGCTTGTATTAAAAAGTCTGTACTTATCGTACAATACAAGTATACCAGAATTTCGAATTCTGGTAAAAGGTACTGAGTTCTGCTAGGCAACCAAGGTGCAGTTCACCGCTATTTATTGCTACTTATGTATACTCTTCGATGTCGCCAGCTTTTATCCTTAGACTTGTTTTTATACTTAATGGTGATAAATAGAGCCATCGTTATTTTCAAGGCGTTGCTTATGATGTAGAGCGTCTAAGATACGTGATCATTAAACATTCTTGTCTATAACAATATAGCAATTTCTAGTTCTGTATTGATTTTATTTATGCATGTATGCTTTTGGATAATGCAGCTTATTATCTATAGTATCCAGAATAAAATTATCGCATTACGTTTCAATTAAAATTAGCATAATTTCTATATAGTTTAATTCAATGCTATTAAGCTAAGTAAGTAGATATTTTTAATCAGCAATGCTTTTTCGCTTATTTTATTTCATAATTTTGCGAATTGCTTACGATGTAGTAATTATTCCATTCTTATACCATTAAAGTGGTAGTTAATAAATGTAGAGTCGTATGTATTATTGGTTGTAGCTCAGAATTCGTGTTACCATTGTTTAAGATTTAGTTACTGATAAGATTTGAACACCTAGATATTATAGAGTGTGAACTTTAATAATTGGTGGCAAGTACATTAAAGTAAATTAATATTATACCAGCAATTTTGCCATCGTCTGTGAGAATAATTACATCTATACCTTCGTTCGGTTGCCGTGAGTAAATACTCTTCTTTAGAGATACCCAATACATTAAAAGACTTGTCATCGTCCGCATAACATTGCGCACAAAGACTAGCAGCTTCTTCAACATCTTTTTGTCGAATCAAGTGATAGTTGATAGTATTTCGACTATCAGAAATTTTAATTAATTTCTCTTCTTAGAACTTTTTACGTAAAGACAAGCACTACTAGAGGTCACTTTGCTTGCTCCTGATGTTCGTTAAGAATTCGCAATGATGTTTCTTTTCGATAAGCCTCGTGTTCTAAATTAAAGTCAGCGGTAGTTGTGTCAAACCAAAGTATAGTTCAGATAGCTAATTTATAAATGCCAATAGATTGAAAGTTTTAAATTGAATGAAAATGATAATAATATAGTCTTTTTATATACTTCCATCAGCGTCTTTCCACGAAAGAATTACAAATAATAATAATAAACATTCCTAGCTTCCTAAGTTTCTTAATTGTGCTTTCCTGATAACTGAATAATTAGCAGTACAGCAGCCATTAATACCAATCGATGATGATTTAGTTTAATTAGTGTAAGAAATAGATTTTTCTTGATAATCAGAAGTTAATCGAATCGATTTTTAAATACGTGTGCATTAATAGCAACTAGCAATCTACGGATGATTAATTGACTAATAGATGCATTACGTGACCTGAAGTGTAGTTGCAGGAACTCATAATTTTGCTTGTGAAGAGCTCCCTAATCTATTACTCTCCTCATTCAAATAATAAATAAAAATTTGGGCTCGATAATAACCCTGATCCAGTAATTCATGAAATACTTTCTGACCCTTGTAAGTATATTCGTCGAAATTGATGGAATGAATGAGTTTATAACCTATAGCATGTGCTCGTCTTTGCATCACCGGATTGATAGCCACCGTCAGCAAATAGGAATAACCATTTCGAGCACTTACTGCTCTGATTAATCCACCGCATATAAATCCAATGGCTTTACCAGCGTACTTGACACCTTGTACGCAAGCAAGATCATCCATTATAACCGTTTTATGCGGATTAAATGATGGCATTTGTTCTACTTTTTCGTATAGTTGTAACATACAATCCATGATTGGTTCTATAGCTTCCATGTGCTTGTTCTCTGCGTTGTTTGCATCAAAAGCTTGAATTGCTTTGGTGTAAGAATAACCCGCTGCTACTCCGACTATCTGATTTGTTTCTGTATCTCGTGCAACGATGGAAAGCTTTTCCTCTGCTGATATTCGACATTCATGGGATGCTATTTCAACATAGTCATCAAAAGTAATGCCTCTACATTTATACATTTCGTTTTGCTGTGTGAAAGCCATAGCAAGAACATTAGCCGCCTCGTCTATGTCGTCTTTTTCCATAATGCTATAACCAATACCATGATGATGATCGATGATAAATGAAGCATGACTATTTCGAAATTGATGTACGATTCTTTTTACATGTTGTACAGTCTTGTCTTCAGTCATGTCTAAATTGGTTGGAGATATTTATCGATATATTATTAACACGGACTAATGACAGAATGTTGCTAATCATAGATAACAAAAAAGAAAGAATGATGATCAAATTATCAAACTAGTTATGAAACTATACTATTTTACGTAAGAGCAGTGGCGTAAGTAACCGAGATGGACTCATAACTAAGCAAATAGAGTACACACGTGATCATCAACTAAATTAGGCCTTCGATTCTACTTATTGCTTCTACTCTTACATTTATTATGAAATATTATTATCAACGATGATGTATAAATACATAGGCGCACTTATAGCATTGATTTTTAAATTAGATCAATTTGAAGGAATAAGCATGATGCTTCTTTTGCATCGCAGCATTTATGTAGATGTGATGTTGCTAGGAAAGTCTTTAAACTCGCTAATTGTGAGTGTAATAAGTGTATCTCACAACTACTCTATCTAATCGAGTCTAATTTTCACAAATACAGTCATCTCAGACAGATTGAACTTAAAATAATTTTTTATTAGTGTTAAGCATCGTCGAACAATAATTAATATATTATTAACTAAAACAAGAATCTAATCTAAAATATCCTGAGCTCAAAAGAATTGCAAGCTCCTATCTGCTATCCTTAAATGTATTTAGTTTAATCTATTTACGGCTATAAAGTTGCCTACAATCAGACTTGAGTCATTAAACGGAAAAATTTTCCTCAAATAAATCATCAATATGTTTACTGTACGAATTGATCTACTTAAAATATCATCTCTCTTCTCTTATTGTCCAATACTAGGTGCTAGACATCTTGACAATGGCAGTATATCGAATTAAAGCAATATACTAAACTAATAATACTTTAATATCAAGACTTTGCTGTTGTATAATTCGATGACAACCTTTCACATGAGCAGTTATACATATCCAACCAATTTTTTGTTGATAAATTCGTTACAGCTTTGATTTTATAGTCGTCCTAATCTGAATCTTCTTGTTCATTATAATATAAAGGATAGCAATCGTATAATATTAGCATCATGATAATATCTATTCTTAGCAACTATGCTATATCAAATATAGCTATCAATACAATCAACTGTGGAGTTCATTACTACAGCAAGATTGACAAATATGGCTATTATTAATGTCGGAACTTAAGCAAGGCCAAAGCATAAATGAATTGTTATATGCTTTAATTTATTTAGATTTAGCTTCGGACTTACTAGCTATTACCGATTATTATATATTAGTTCTATCTGAAGATGGGACTAATCAATAATATAGAATTTACAAGTTATCTTATTTCAGCGATACCGTAACAGCGAATGTTCATATCATGATAACGATAACACTGATATTTTAATCTTAATTAAACTAGGTACCAACTGGAAGTAATCAATCATCACCACTGTTTTAATCAATAAGCATTTTCAAATCAATATCTTATAGTCTCAACGAAAAAGTGTAGCGAGCTAATTTGGGTTATGTAAAAATGATAGCAATCTCTATCAGCGAAATAACTGCCCCAAAATAATGCTCTTTGCTTAAAAATTGGTTGTGTTAATCATCAAATTCTTAAAGATTATAATTCCTTTCTTACAATTTTTTATCACGGGCTGTGAGTCTATAAGATCAAAACCTAGCTTTCTATCCATTGCATTTGCGGTTATAATCTCATTGGTTGGCAGCATAATTCTTAGATTACCAGAACTTAAAATAATTTTCATCACCTTCGAATAGATGACGTAAGTATAAATGCAATGCGAGCAGTGATTTATAAAATGAGTAATTTACTATTTGACTGCTATATTAATTAATGCGGAGAACATTCGTAACTGTATAAAATTCTTATTTAGAGATGACTATAAAGTAAATGAAGCCAGTTAAATGATATAATAAGGGGGAAATTGCCGTTAAGAAAATTATAATTTCGCTTGTGGAGAGCTTACTAATTTTTTACAATTATCGTTTAAATAATTTACGAAAATTTGTCCACTATGATAGCCTTTTTCGACCAAATTGGAAAAGACTTTTTCGCCTCGATAAATATATTCGTCCAATTTTAAACTATGAAGAAGTTTATAACCCAATGAACGAACTCTTCGTTGCATTACCGGATTGAGAACGACCGTTAGCAAATATGAATAACCTAATCGAACACATAATGCTTTGACTAGTCCAGCACATAGGAATCCTACCAATTTACCTGTGTATTTTTCACCTCTTACAGCTGCAACATCGTCGATAATCACCGTTTTATCAGGATTGAAAGATTCCATTTGCTCTACTTTTTCTACTAATCGCAGCATACAATCCATCACCGGTGCAAGCGCTTCTTTCGGCTGGGTAGTTTCCTCATTTTCTGCAAATGATTGAAGTGCTTTGTTATAAGAGTATGCTACTGCTACTCCAATTATCTGATTGGTTTCCATATCACGAGCGATTATGGATAACTTATCCTCAACAGACATTCTGCATTCATGGATAACCGATTCGAGATAGTCATCCACAGTAATTCCTCTCGTTTTGTACATTTCATTTTGTTCAATAAAAGACTTTGCCATCATAGCAGCGGCCTCATCGATTTCGTGTTCTTCCATGATACTATAACGAATTGGATAACGAGGATCATTGAGAAAGGTAGCATGACCTTTTTGGAATTGGAGAATAATTCTATTTACATATTGTGCCCTCTCGTAACTGTCCATGTTTAAAATTGTTTTAAGCTTTAATAAGCAGGTAAAGCTTGATGCCTGATTAAGTTATGAAGATACAATTCAAGTTGGATAAGCAATAGCCAGATATCATGAAAGTTTTTTGATTTATTTTTCAGTCCACAAAAACAAGTCTTGATGTTTAATTTGGAAGGGTTCTGTAATGAAGTCAAGTTATGTAAAATCACGATCATATCATGACTAAGGATGTAGTACTCGCATGATTATTATCCTAATTAACTATGCAATGAACGAATTCATTAGTATATTTACCATTATTTCCTATACACTGGCTCTTGTTTCCTTCATTTAATGCCAAATTGTCATCAGTAGTTTTAATATAGAACTATTTCCAACCCTACAGTATCTAGTCATGCAAGGGTATTAGGCCTCTCTGTAGTGGTTAAAAGAGTTTATTACTTCAAAAATATTACCGTTGAATTTTACATTAGTAGAACTTAAGATGACGCAACTACACACACAAATACAACTAGCGCAAGGTTATCGACCTACTCCAGCTCCAAGTAGTGAGTCTTTTATAGTCTACATTCCTAGAAAGGATTAATGATAAAGATGTTTTCCCAATCCCTATTTCAGTCAGTTCAACTCATATCTTATTTTTTGCTTCCTATACTATTGCTTATTTTCATTTATATTTAATGTGGGCCTTATGAGTGCAAGACCCCAAGCTACGTATGATTGTCATCCCTCACTTTGGGCCAATTATACGCCATCTACTTAGAAGTGTCGGTACCACCTACCAAGGCGCCATGTAGTCCTACTTAACCGCATGACTAACATCCCTAGTAATATCTTTTAATAATCCGCTAGGCCTATTACACCTGATAGAATGCCACTAACACCGCTAACCTACTATCTTATTTACTCGGGCTCAGCGTAGTCTAGTTTTCATACAGTAGTAAACTGGGAAACCTCCTCATAACTGTTCATAAATATGAAAGATGCAAGCAAAAGCATGCCAAATTATTTTCTTAGGATTCATATTGTCATCATAGCTTATTGGCGTTGCTTTTACCGCAATTTCATACCTAATTCTTAATTTACTTTATATAGTAAATGAAGTACGTTATAATATTACAATTGCAACTCTGTTAGCAGAATAAATGAGATATGATATGGCCGATGATAAGGTAACGAAGGGAGGATAGGTATAGCTTCAGAAAGCATCTGGATGATCATAATGGTTATAAAAATTGCCTACCTCAAGGTTATATTGAATTAATTACAGTTACAAGAAGATTTATCGTTATTCTTGACCTTACCGAATAGCTACTGCAACATCCTTAGTACGTAAGTCAATAGACATATCCTTCACGATACGATACCACTTCTTCGTTCAATGATAATTCCTTGAAACAGTCAGACGCCTCCTTGCTGAAGATTATATTGTACTGCATACTGTAGAAGATTAACTGCAGCATGACAGTAATCTGTTTTATTACTAACCAGCTAAATTAGACGGGATGAAATTTAAAAGTTTTCATGATATAGACTATCATCAATAGCAACAATAATAGAGTAAGTTATTAATTGAAATATTACAATTTCTTACGAGAATACAGTCAGCAATTATTCCCTCATCAAGACAAGTATCTTTGATTTTCCTAAAGGAGCAAACTTAGAATACAGATAAAGCAACGGCTATCATCAACAGTATTAAGAATAGAGTATTTTATTGATTGAGCATTTAATACGTTTATAACCATACAATAATCAATTATTTCATTCTCAGTACGATTATTTTCGATACTTCTACAGCAATAGAATCAGAATATTATTGACGGCCCCGAGAATAATGTATTTTACTGATTAAGAAATTAAATATGTTTAAAAGTATACAAGAATTAATTATTGAATCATCAATATCAAAAACTTTGGTATTCCTGAATGGATATAATTTCAGAATATAGGCATGTTATAATTGTTATTTCTAAGCTATTCCGAACTACTAGTTCATAGCAATACTGAGATTCGAGAGCCTTAGGATAAGAATAACTTTATCACATACAGTACGTGAAAAGGTTACAGAATATTAGCAATAAAAAGGCTATAACTAATTGTAGAATGTTAGTCTAGTAATCTCTACTTGGAAAATCTGTTAGGCTACTTTAGCTCTCTCTAAGGCCCCTTTTATACGATCCGGCCCATCTTATTATTCAACATACTTTGAGCAAAACTCTAGCACAAATATTCCCATAAGCAATTCTCGGCCTGTTGTAGGACTAATATGAGCTCAATCATCACAGCTAAACAACAGTCTCGTGACCGATCCAACATAGCGTTAACACAAAATCTATAAATATCTAATTCTAATATAGATCACAATATTACAAGACAAAATGGTTATCATCAACAGCATCAAGAATAGAATAATTTATTGATTGAGACATTAATCACATTTAAAATTTCGGTATGTAATTAGCAATTATTTCGTCATCAATGTTAGAATCTTTGATCTTCTTAACGTAATTAAATTAGAATATAGATAAAAAAAAAGACTAGTACCAACAGCATCAAGAATAGAGGATTTCATTGATTGAAATGTTAAATATGTTTTCCAATATAGTATGCAATAAACAATTATTTCATCATCAGTACCGGTGTAACAGTCCAAACTATAACCCTAGTCTAGAATAGACTGGGAGTATAATCTAGGCTAGCCTAGTTTATATCCCTCTAGGCCGGAGTATACCCCCATCTTGCATACAAGTATATCAAGTAATCGAGGAAATAAGATTAAATTCTGATCTGATTTCACACCAACTAATCTCATGCAGATCACATGGAGCACAAATTCAATAGATATTTTATAATTATAACTTTACTTATCAAGTTCTTCGGTTCTTCCAGTTTTGCAGAATACGTTAGCCTTTACTTTGTCTAGCGACTTTGATCTGAACGAATCTATTATTAGCAATTATAATCAACCATTTGTTGAGAAAATATATTTTTTAAACTCTAATTACAGCATTTGGGTGCTGTGAAATATTCTCTAGGAATGCAGCATCGCCGGTCAAGATTTAGAGACTGATATTGGCAGGATACGTCAGACATCTCTTTGGCTGGCCAATTAGTGTGTAAATTACGATATCACAGCCTATCAAACTTGCTGCAGCCATGACTTGAGCATTAATAGCCATATTCCGTCTTGTATTATTTCAGAGTCGGTCATATAATCACGAACATTCTGATTAGGTAGAGTTGGAACCCTCACGGCAATATCAGTGTTCATATGCTACGCGACTTGATTGAGAATAATGTTGTGGCTTTCCTAAGATCCTGTAAGCGTATAGTTAATAGCTCGAAAGTAGCAGTTGCGATCTCTTTTGGTGCTGTAGGGTCTTCTTGGCTGTGATAGTTTAGATTGTCCCCCGAAGTATACTGAATTCGATAATGTCGGATACAGTGCAATCAATCGTTTAGCACGATCCAAGTGGTAAATATTTTGGAGATATTTTCTTTCGAAGCTGGTGTAGAAGTGTAAAATCTGGTTGTATAGATCGCTATCCACGATGCAAGTGTGCAGTAATACATAAATTTAAATCTATAAAGTTAACAGGCTAAGCTACGTATGAAATATGATCTGAAATCTTTAATGTTACACTAACGACAGGAACCAAATCAGAATATAAACAGAAAGTAGCTATTACCAACAGCCACAAGATTAGAGTGCTTCATCGATTGAGAAATTAGACATGTTTAGATCTATCGTACAGTATACAAAAAATAAATGTTTCTTTATCAATACAAGTACTTTTGATATTGCTGCAGGAAAAATGCTAATGCATAGATGATTATAGTATTGGTAGTTAATCATCCTTTCAACTATATGAGAATCGTATTCATTTTTTGTTATTTTTCCCTATGTCCTTGATAAAGATTTGCACTTCCTTGTAGCCTTTTGCTACTAAATCCAGAAAGACTTTTACATCTTTATAGGTATATTCATTTAAATCGACTGAACAAATTAATCGATAGCCAACTGCAAGAGCTCTTTTTTGCATGATTGGATTGAAAATAGTGGTTATCATTTTTTCATAACCATGTCGAGCACTTATTGCTTCTACTAAAAAACCGCTCAAGAATCCAATAGCCTTACTAGCATATTTTTCACCTCTCAAGCAAGCAACATCATCGATAACGATCATTTTCTTTGGATCAAAGGATTCTTTTTTCTCTGCGTCTTCATATAATTGCATCATACAATCCATAATCGGAGCCATAGCTTCTCCATAGTTATTAATAACGTTCTCGCCCGCAGTCGCTTCAGTTGCCTTACTGTAAACATAACCAATTCCTACTCCAACTAATTTATTATTTTCTATATCTCGAGCAACGATTGCTAATTTATCTTCCATCGCCAATCGGAATTCAAATTTAGCAGCAAGGATATATTGCTCAACTGTTACACCTTGACTTTTAAAAATTTCATTTTGTTCAATAAAAGAGATAGCAATGACTTTCATAGCTTCATCCATATCTTCTTCTTGCATGACACTATACCGTATATTATTTTTTTCATCGACGATAAAAGAAGAATCGCTATCTCGAAATTGTTTATAAAGCTCTAGTACATGTTCCATGGGATTGTGTTTAGCCATGTTGAAATCGTAGCTGTTTGTTGGTGTGTAATATTGTTGAAACCTATCCACAAGTGAATAGTATATTAATAATTAGCCACTAGTTAGAGAATTACCGTAGCAACGATAGATTGATAGTAATGATAGAGACAACAAGAATCTTTACCTTCGATCTTAGCCGTAGGGGGAAAATGGCTGAATAAAAGAAGGTGCCAAGGTTGTATAAATGAAAATCGATGATGGTACCGGCAATCATCATGTGACAGTATGAATAAACTATTAATCCAGAATTTTATTCATGGATTAATTTCTATCGGGTTTAAATTAATTCAACCAGTTGTTTACTAAAGCGTATCGAGTTCATTGTTATGGAAATCAAGATTGATTTGCTCCGTTTTCAGTGGGTTTAATTAATCTTCTCTATCTTACATTCATAGTGGAATGCCAATAGTGCTGAGTATGTTTCTATCGGTGGTCTAGATTATCCTTAGTCTAAGTTCATACCCGCTCCACTATAATAGTGTATAACTCCATATTTAGCTAAGCTCTATTTTACTTTGACACTGTGGGATTCTAGTGATACTCTAATCCGATTGCATTGTAGAAATCTTCCTAATATCTGAGCTCTTCTTCCTTTACTCTTTGGTTTTTCTCAATTGTTTCCTTCCGCTGTGCTTCTAACATTCTATAAGCTATTTTCATACGTCGATAACTTGATTTAGTGTTCACTTAGCTTCCTGCGATGGCGTTAACTTTAATGTTATCACTAACGAACAATATATATATATATATAGATCACTGAGTTTACTAAAGCTCAGGAGGCATTCCGATGAATTATTAGATGGTATTTCGTATTCAATTCTGCCTTACTATACTATCTTTACCTCAATGCAATATCAGTCATCGTTTTAACTTACCTTCATTTCTTAATAGCTACTTTATTGGTTTAATTATTTAAATTGTAGTTTAATATACAACCGTATTTTCGTTTACCTGAGGCAAATATCATCATTCCTTGACATAACTTATCATATCGGACATCACGGATCAATTTACATCGGTAGAGCTTCTTAATTGCATTATAATGTCCTGCCCATGATGTCTTAGAGGGTACTAAAGTTAGGTGGAAATCATTGCTATAGCAAATTTAGCACAGCATAACTAGCCAGTTGGAGAACCAAAATGATTGCCTGGCTATTCACTATAATACATGTACGTTAGCAATTATTTCATCAACCCAAGCATATTTGATTCTTCTAAAGAAAAAAAATGAGAATATAGATAAAAAATGGCTATTATCAACTGTATCAAGAATAGAATACTTTATTGATTCAGATTTCAGACATTAAATATGTTTATAACTATGTAATAAACATTTATTTCATCATCAATACAAGTATCTTAGAGGCTTCCTAAAGGAACAAAATTAGAACATAGGTAAAAAGTGGCTATCATCGACAGCACCAAGAATGGAATATTTTAATAATTGAAAGATTAAATTAAACATGTTGATAATTGCACAATAAGTAATATCTATATCATTGATATAAGTATTTTTAATGCTCCTAAAGGAGCAAATCAGAACACCATTAACAGCATCAAGAATAGAGTATTTTACTGATTGAGACATTAAACATGTTTATAACTACAACATGCAATCAGCAATTATTTCATTATCAATACAAGTACCATTGATCCTCCTAACGAAATTAAACTAGAATACAGATGAAAAAAACTATCATCAACCACATCAAGAATAGAGGATTTTATTGAATGAGAGAATAAAAATGTTTAGAACTATGCAAGAAGCAATTAGTTTATCACCAATGTAAGTAACTTTAATGTTCTTAAGGGAAAAAATTACACTACCATCAACAGCGTCAAGAATAGAGTAATCTGCTGATTGAGATATTCAATATGCATTTAACTACGGCATACAATAAACAATTCCTTCATCATCAGTAAAGGCATCTGCAATGTTCCTTAAGGAACAAAATAAAAAAATAGACAAAAAGTGACTATCATTAACAACAACAAGAATAATGTAATTTATCGATGGAGAAGTTAAACATATCATAACTACGATATACAATAAGCAATTGTTTCATCGTCAATCTTATAAGTTTTGTTGATTTTTCTTCAGGTAAAATATTAATAAATTGATGATTATAGTATTGTTAGTTAATCATCCTTTTAACCATTTGAGAGTTATATTCACTTCTTATTATCTTTGCGTATGTCCTTGATAAAGATTTGCACTTCCTTGTAGCCTTTTGCTACTAAATCCAGAAAGACTTTTTCATCTTTATAGGTATATTCATTTAAATCGACTGAACAAATTAATCGATAGCCAACTGCAAGACTTCGTTTTTGCATGATTGGATTGAAAATAGTGGTTATCATGTTGTCATAACCATGTCGAGCACTTATTGCTTCTACTAAAAAACCGCTCAAGAATCCAATAGCCTTACTAGCATATTTTTCACCTCTCAAGCAAGCAACATCATCGATAACGATCATTTTCTTTGGATCAAAGGATTCTTTTTTCTCTGCGTCTTCATATAATTGCATCATACAATCCATAATCGGAGCCATAGCTTCTCCATAGTTATTAATAACGTTCTCGCCCGCTGTCACTTCAGTTACCTTACTATAAACATAACCAATTCCTACTCCAACTAATTTATTATTTTCTATATCTCGAGCAACGATTGCCAATTTATCTTCCATCGCCAATCGGCATTCAAATTTAGCAGCAAGGATATACTGCTCGACCGTAACACCTCGACTTTTATAAATTTCATTTTGTTCAATAAAAGAGATAGCAATGACTTTCATAGCTTCATCCATATCTTCTTCTTGCATGACACTATACCGTATATTATTTTTTTCATCGACGATAAAGGGAGAATCGCTATCTCGAAATTGTTTATAAAGCTCTAGTACATGTTCCATAGGATTGTGTTTAGCCATGTTGAAATCGTTGCAGTTTGATGTTTAGTAATATAATTGAACCTATCCACAAATGAAATAGTACAGTAAATGGCTGTTAGATACAGGAGTACTTTAGCAAAGATAGATTGAAAGTGATGATGGAGACCACAAGAACTTCTATCTGCGATTTTAGCCGTAGGTGAAAAGGGCTGAGATCAAGAATGTGCCAAGGTCATGTGAAAATCGATGATGGAGCTAGCAATCACCACGTGATAGTGTACTGGGACTGCTATATATATTGTACACAATTTCATGCAAGGATTGATTTTTATAGGGCTTTAAATTAAATTAAATTAATTTAATCAGTTGTTTACCAAAGCGTATCGAGTTCATTGTTATGGAAATCAAGATTGATTTGCTCCGTTTTCAGAGAGTTTAATCTTCTCTATCTTGCATTCATAATGGACTACCCAT